GGAAGTGGCTTTAGCTTCTCAGTGTTGTGCTTTAACCCGCTGCGCCACCAGGGAGGGCCAGTTTGGTAACATTTTGTTGAGGATTTTTGCATCTGTATTCAGCAGGAATATTGGCCTGCAATTTTCTTTTCTTGTGCCATCCTTGTTTGGTTTTAGTATCAGGCTCATGCTAATCTCATGAAATATGTTTGGGAGTTTTTCTACTCATTTGTTTTTTGGGAAGAGTTTGAGTAGTATTGGCTTTAATTCTTCTTTGAATGGCGTAATTCACCTATGAAGCCATCTAGATCTGGGCTTTTGTTTGTTGGGAGGTCCAAGTACACTTTTTATAACTACATTATTGAAATACAATGCAAGAATACAGAGTAGACAATTAAAATATTCCTCTTTAAACAGAGGTAACATTGGTTTGAAATATTATGTGCTTTAGGAGTACTGGTTCATCTCCTTTATTCCTAAAATAAGATTCTTAGACCTTTATGGGACTAAACTGTGACCATGGCTGACAACTAGAAGTTTGTTATAGTAATTATATTGAAGGCAGGCATTTTAAAACTCTAGCATCAGTGCAAACCTACAGCTTATTTAAATTGAGGTGCTGGGAGATAGGAGGAGCCAGCATACATAATGGTCACACATCATGGTCATCCTATCCCCTCTTCATCACTGATAGCTCTGAAGGGGGGAGGTGTGTGGAATGTGAGTCACATCTGTCCCAAGAGACCTAGGGGAGATTAGCTGACAATATTTTCAAAAGTTCCCCTGCCTGCAACAGAGAAAACTTCCTTTCTTACTGCTTTTGAGGTTTTTCTATGGCTACACCATGCTGGAGAAAGTTTTCTATCTTGCAACCACAAAATTGGCAGAGGAGAAAGATAGTAAGAACCTTTGTCTTTTATGATGTTATTTAAACTTTTTCTCTAGTCTTGGACTGCCCACCTCCAGGCCTTTTCTTTTCTTTCTTTCTTTTTCTTTTCTTTTCTTTTTTTTGAGTGAAATAACTGTCTCACTATTGTATAAGCAAGTTGTAATAAATATTTTAATACTGGCAGCAATCCTAATAGAATCAACAATGCTATTAGCTGCCTGCACAGCACATGAAAACTATCACGTGTTTCAACATTTTGGTTATTACTCTTGTAAAGTAAAATTTAAAGATGAGTGTGTCCAAATCGCCATTGATTCCCACTAGCTTCTCATAATCCTTCCCCCTCTTTCTTTTTAGAGCAATCTCAAAATATTTGTGTACCCCTGTTTTAAAACAATAATCTCATTTGCTTTAAATTTGACTCACTTGTACACATAATCTATATTGCCCAGAGGACTGTAATATCTCTATAGGCTCATAACTAGCTACTCAATAACTATTCGTCGAATGCATTATTGAAGAAGTCCATATATTTAAATTACCTAAGTATGCCAAAAGCATGCATCATAATTTTCAAGGAGGTGTGTAGACTCAAGAGTGTGTGTGTATGTGTTTGTGTGTGTGTATTTTAACACAATAGCTAACACATTTTCTAGTACTTTTGTTTCTATTGGCCCTTTGGATTGTATTGTTGCATGTTCTAATCCTGTCTCCAAAATGGAAGTTACACAAGAAAATTTAAAGCCACTCATATATTTCAACTCTGATTTCTCTTAGGAAATAAAGTAGAGGTCAGCCTCATTTCCAGTGATCATTGATTGGACGTGGCCAACTAGGTTCCTGCCAAAATGCTGCTCCTGACCTCCGTTCAGCCTAACTTAATGGCACTGATTGTAGCTATATTTTATCTGTAAAGCCACAGTCAGTTAATGGTAGACTCTTCCAGCTTTTCAGCATTAGAAATGAATCTAGTAAGCAAGTTTTCCTTTTAAAATTTCAAGTATTATGAAGCAATGAGATGTAAGATTTGACGAAGGAAATGGGAGTTTAATATGGCTGAGGATAGCTGGAGATACAGACCAAGGCACTTAGGCCCCAGATGTTGGAGGGTATGTCCATAGCAGAAGCTTTTGGTGTTGATGGGATGGTTAAGTGAGAGATTTAGGCTCCCACAATTAGATCTTAAGGGGAAAAACAAGAAAAGAAAAACTGAAGATGTGTTCTGTTTTTAAGCTTTTCCTGTTAACCAGCCTTCACACAGGGAA